ACAACAACAGACTTCTATTTATAGACATGTACTTATATACGTACTGTTGTATAGTTGTATATATTATTAAGAGTTTTTGTATGTTTTGGATCAAAATAAATATACTACTTGGAGGTTGGGGTTTTCTTGTTTCAGAGAATACCTTGGAGTCATTGTGGATGCATCATCTCATTGACTGTAATGTCCGTGTGGTGTTTCCTAGCATGGAGGTGGTATAATTTTACCAGTGTATAATTTTACACTGTCGTCTTTTGATGGAAATTTCGGTTATTGGTGGTTTCTCACTCTTAAAAACAATGAAATACTGGATGTTCTTACCGCACATTATTCTGTTGTTGTCGTTGTTGTTACTTGCTGTTGAGTTGAGTCTGATTATGTTGACCCCATGGTTAGGGAGTAGAACTGCTTCACGGGGTTTTCTTGGCTGTAACCGTAACAGAAGCAGGTCACCAGGGTTCTCCGTCTGTGGTGCTGCTGAGTGAGTTTGAACCGCCTCCCCTCATGGTTGTTAGTCGAACGCAAACCCTTGGTGCCCAGAGAGGCCTTGTACAGTGTTGTACATGTGTGTGAATGTTACGTTAGTCTTTTTTTTTTAGGCTTGGAAGAACTAATTGGGGAAAATCTATGGTCCTTTAGCATGTGACTTGGTCACAGTGTGTATAATTCATCATGGAACACCTGATCAGACCATGTTGCTGTCCATCTACTCCACACCGTCCACTAATACTTAACTCAGGTTGCATTGGAATGTGTCACTCCAGGACTCCTTATCATTTGAGGATGTGGCTGTGGGCTTCACCTGGGAGGAGTGGCAGTTGTTGGATCCCTTTCAGAAGGACCTGTACAAGGACGTGATGTTGGAGAACTACAGCAACCTGGTGTCAGTGGGTAAGGGCAGCATCACGGGCTCGCTCACTGTGGGCTCTGTTATCATCTTTGCTTTCTCATTTAGTGACATCTGTAAGGCCCCTTGAGTATTTTGTGTTTAGACTGAAGAACTGTAGGTCCTAGA